TCCTCGCATCCTCTTTTCAACTGGCGCTATTTTTGCATCAGCTCTCCCCTTCCCCTTTTGATCAGTAAGGTGAGGATTTCGCAATACTCTCTTTGTATTTTGTCTAATTGACGATTGGGATTTTCTCTTTTTTCAGACACGTCATCTCAACAAAAGCAATGCAAATTCTGTTGAGCACAACTTCTTCTCGCCCTTCTAAAACACTACAGTACTACTGCATATCAACTGGTGAACACTGCTTAAAACGCCCTAAAACAGAAATGTGATCTTCAATTTTACTGTCGACTTTGATATTCTTTTGGATGCCCTCTCCATCGTCGATGATCCACAAGTAGTGCTGGATCATCGCAGTTCCCGTTGTTTACCGAAATGCGTTCACCAAATCTGAACTACTTTTTCCGCCGTAACAAGTACTTCTTCATTGGCTGCCTAGCCGGCTTCATTCTCTCCTCTATCTTTATGCCTGCTTTTGAAGACTGCAACAGCCAACGATCTCAGCCCTCGTCCTCTTTTTCCTCTCAATCAGCCACACTGGACTTTCGATTAGCTGCACAGCTGCAGGCATGGTTCACTGAAGTCCAGCAACCTGAATACGAACCAGTTCAGGTGAACACTTCACTCGATTTTTCCGGTGAGGAAAAAAATGGCTTGCAAAATGTCGAGCCAGTGTTTGACAAAGATGAGCCTCTGGTTCATGATAAGAAGCTGAAGTTTAACCGACCTCGATTTCACTATACCGAGCTGAAACTGAAGAATGAACTACTTTTGGGCATTCTAATCAACAGTGAGCAGTTGTCATCTTCATCATCGAATGCCTCCTTGAAGCAGCAAATCCTCGAGTACATCAACATCACTACTGAGCAGCTCTTTAAGCACCACCAGAACATTGATGTCTACTACTTTTACGAAGAGGAAAGGGAAAACTTCAATGGACGGCAGTTTCAAACGAATATAGTCATGGCTTCCGCTCACAGGGGCAGAAGTGCTCAAGCAGTTTACTGGGGAGGACACACCACCAAACATCTGGCCATACTGCAGCACCTGATCGACCGAGGCACCGCCAGCGAGTACTCCTTCTTCTTCCTCATGAACCAGAACACTCTCCTGTCAGTGGAGAACCTGCTGGAGCACCTCAGTCAGCGCCTGACCACCGCTGATGAGGTTCTCTCGACGATAAACAGAGGAGAGGTTCGCTCCAGGTTTGCCCGTGATGACTCGGTGCTCAACTACGGCTTACTGATTAGTGCCTCCCTTCTGAGCTCATGTCAGCTTGATGTGCCCTGTCTGCTGTCGCGGTCCACCGTCCATTCCTCTCATGCTGCCTGTCACCTTTCATCGCCTTCTAAATTAGTCAACACTATCCCTGGCGCCATCACCGTCTACCCCGTTGCCTTCAATTCTCAAATGGACCATATGCTTCGCTCAGCAATAGAGGCAGAGCGAATCAGCAGGCTAAAAGGAATGCTCACTTTTCTTGAAAACCAAATTGTGACAGAGAACAACAGGACCCTCTGGCCACCTGGAGTCTTTGGATACCAGCGGCCGCACACTCGCTACGAGGTGACCAAGTGGTCGTACTGGAATGCCAGTCACGCTTTTATGCCCAATGATATTCAGGTCATCAGACGGCTGAATGAGGCTGAGCTGGGCGAGCTGAGAGAACTGCGGAAAATTTGTTCACGGTGGATCAAAGACGGATCCTCAGAGCACAGCTCTGGCAGCATCACTAGTGTGTATCGAAAGTTTGACGCTGTTCGTGGTCTTGAGTATCTGGTCGACTTTTCCAGTGATGATTCGAGGTTTTTGAGATTGCAGGTGGTAAAGCCACTAAACCCTCTGGAGCTGATCACCGATGTGCCCTACGTGACAGAGAACATGCACCTGACGCTGGTGCTGCCCGTTCGAGGTTCCGCTGAGGTGCCCCTCGCCATACGCTTTCTCAACCACTACAGCAATGTCTGTCTGAAGAAGTCGTCCAACCACGCCACCACCACGCTCATCATCGTCCTCATCTACACCCGTCACCTCACCCTCTCAGAGTCCATTGAATCGGCAGTGGAGTACGAGCGACAGGAGTTCGGTCGTCTGAAAAAGGTCTCACTGTACATTCAAGCAAAGTTTGCCCGAGAGGAGGAAGGGGGAAGTGAGGTAAAGATAGTCTTCCTCGACTTTCATCCGCCTGATCCGCTTTCAGGGCCTTCAGAGGGACAAACTGAAGAAAGTGTTCCGCCGCTGTCCCCCTTTCCCTCTGAGCTGGCCTACCTCGACCTGATCGCCCGCTCTCTGACGCTCACCTCCTCCGATACCGCTCCTCAGCCTTTCCTGCTGTTGCACTGTCGCAGCAACATGCTCCTCACCCCTGACTTCCTCAATCGCGTCCGCCTGAACACCATCGCCGGTCAGCAGGTCTTCCTGCCGATTCCCTTTGTGGAGTACCGAGTTCGCACATCACTCTCCAACAGCGTCTTTCAGCAGGCAATTCACCAGCAACAACAGTCGGGGAAGACCGACTTTCTCAACTCACTGGCCGAACTAGTCAAGAGAGAAAGGGGAGGAGGGGGAAATGACGAGGCCGTCTCCTCCGACGCCTTTGACATTCGCAAGGAGAACGGCTACTTTGACCACCTGAATCACGAGCTGGTGGCCTTCTACCTGAGCGACTACCTGGCGGCCAGACGGCGACAGGAGTGGATGCCGATGATTCGCAACCACCAGTCGGTGGTCCGCTACCAGCACCTCCTCTACAACGCCACCACCGACCTGCGGCACCTCTTCCTCCTCACAGTGCCTCCCATTGCCCAGATGAGAGCAGTGGAGCCGGAGCTGCGACTGCAGCACAGCGACATCATTGCCGACCTCTCTTGCGAGTACTTCGAGTCGAATGTGCACTCGCTGGAGAGCTGTCGCCACCGGCGGGCGGTGGGCCTGGGGCCGAAGCAGAAGCTCGCCTCCATTGTCCTGGAGTACCTGCAGGTGAAGAGGAGGAGGAGGCGACTGGACGGAGATGACAGCAACTCACCGTAACACCTAGTGCCAAACAAACTCTTCTGTTATACGTACCACCACTTGTGATCCACCTCCTTTTTCCATTTTTTTCATTTTGTTGTTTTTGTAAAATATAGGTTTTTCTGTAATTTGCTGTACAGTAGAGGTTTAAAACAGGGGGTAAAGATGAGAGGGTAAATGAAGCAATAGAAAATCAAATCACAGGTAACGGGAGGTAAAACTTGATTAACAGCAGCAGCAGCAACAACAATGAACACACGGCAGGGTCTGCCATTGAAGGCCTCATCGCTCAGTCGTCATTGATCATGATGTCCACAGTGACGGCCACCCTCTTGCAGCCAAAGCGTGAGTACANGCAGCAACAATAACAATGAACACACGGCGGAGTCTGCCATTGAAGGCCTCATCCTTCAGTCGTCATTGATCATGATGTCCACAGTGACGGCCACCCTCTTGCAGCCAAAGCGTGAGTACACGTCAGTGTCGGGTATGTAGGTGAGCTGATCGGCCACCTTCTCGATGAACTCGCTGCCTGGTTTGATTAGTGGTGTGGTGTAGTTGCGGTGATCTCGCAGGTACACCTCAATGCACTTCTTCACGTTCTCCCGCTCCAGCGGAAGGAACGGCACAAAAAGATCGATGATGCCGCGGCTGATCAGCTCTGCATTCTTCAGACCACCCTCACGAATGGCTTTGGAGTTGAGAATGGAGTCATAGGAGGTGAGCGGAATCTTGTCCCTGGACACTCCCTGCGCACGTAGTAGGTTGGTTTGTGCGTTGATAGCCTCTCCGCCGCTGTTTCTGTTTTTGTAGAAAAATCAAATTACAAAAAGCTCAATTGTGTGCTTTGTTGAAGCTTACCCAAGAAGTAAAAAGATGGCTTTGTTGTAGCTGTATCCGTTGAACTTGTTGTTTGACTCGATGTACGGTATGAGATTGTCCAGAAACCTCTCCGGGTACTTGTCCACTTCGTCGATTATAAAGATCGATCGTTCGCAGATTGATATGCCCGTCTCAATCATCGCTTTGAGTTTCTCCTTGTCTGCCATCTCGTCACCCGAGAGAAAGTGGGTGGCGACGAGTGTGTTGACAAACTTGCTTTCCCCTTCCAGTGCGTACTGCCGGTATATGGCTTTGGCAATTAGCGACGCCAGGTAGTTCTTCCCCACGCCGGTGTACCCGTGNCGTACTGCCGGTATATGGCCTTGGCAATTAGCGACGCCAGGTAGTTCTTCCCCACGCCGGTGTACCCGTGAAAGGAGAGCACCAGCGCCTTGGGTGGATTTTCATTCTTCAAATGCTGACGGATGCTTCGCTTCACCAGCTGTACGGCAATGTGCTGCCCGAAGAGCTTCTGCTCAATCTCCTCAAAGCTGGGCTGAAAGTTGATCCACTGGTTGGACTTGCGGTCATTGCAGCACTCCAGGTAGCAGAGAATGATGTCCTTGCTGAAGTAGCCCCCGCCTAGAGCTGCTGCAATACCAGCAACGGTCACTGTAATGCCAATGGCTTCCACATCTCGGACGTACAGTTGACAGCAGCTCAGCAGCAGAAGCAGCAGTACGGTGATGCGGGTACATTTCATTTCCCGTCCGGGTGATGTGCTGTCAGTTGGCGGAAACAACGAGGAGTAACAGCTTATCAACCATGTGATGTAAAGGTGACGATGTTAATTTGTGTTTGTTTATCAAAGAATCAGTGACTGATTTTTCCCGCGTCTATTAGCACTTTAGCAGTTTAATTTGGGTAGTTACAGCCGCAGGCAATATTTTTTCATTTAAAAAATATCTCACGTGCGTTGGCTTTTGTTTTGAGATTCAAAGATTCAAAGAAGATTACCTGAGTGAAAGATGCTAAGCTCAATTCGGGGTTTGACGGCGCTGGTCACCGGTGGTGGATCAGGCCTGGGTCTGGCCGTCTGCCAGCGGTTATCCAGGGCAGGGGCACGAGTTGTGGCGCTTGATCTAAAGCCAAGCGAAGAGGCTATTGATAACGTGATCCCCATCAAAGGTGCGTTTATTTTTTCATGCTTTTTCAGTTTCATTTTTACTAAATTAAATTCTGCAACAAAAATTGTAGGTGACATAAGAAAAGAAGAGGACATCAACTCAGCGTTGTCCAAGTGCACCGACGCTGATGGCAAGTCAAAGCTCAATGTTCTCGTGAACTGTGCCGGTGTGGCGAATGCCTTCAAGATTTACAATTTCGTTTCAAATAAGCCACAGCGGCTAAAGGACTTTACCGATCTAGTGGAGATTAACATTGTGGGTACCTTTAATGCGATTCGCCTGGCAGTGCCCCTGCTGGCGGAGAATCCTCCCAATGAAGCTGGTTTGTTTTCTTCATTCTGCAAGCACTTGACAACAAAAGTAAACCATTGATTCATTTTCTGTAGGAACCACTTCCGTCATCATCAACGCCTCCAGTATACTCGCCTATGAGGGCCACGAAGGTCAGACGGGCTTTTCGGCGACGCAGATGGCCATCAACAGCATGACACTTCCACTGGCTCGTGATCTCTCCAAGCAGGGCATTCGCGTCAACACCATCGCCACCGGGTTCTTCGAGACGCCTCTCGTCACGCGCTCCAACGCACCTGAACTGTACGAGTTTATCCACTGTGCAACGCCCTGTCCCTCTCGCTTAGGGCAGCCCGAAGAGTTTGCCTCCCTGGTGCAGTCGATCATTGAGAATAACATGCTGAACGGGGAGATCATTCGCCTCGACGGGGCAATGAGATGGCCGGAACGAGGCTGAACAGTTTAGTTCATACGGAAGAAAAGAATATGTTCATTATTAAACTTTTGTAATTAGTCTTCATTTTGTAAAACTCTCTGACCAGTCGCAGAGATTAAATAAATGTACATCAAAAAAGAGAAAAGAAAGAGGCCGCTTTCAACATTGGTATAAAGAGCTTAAAAATTGACAAAAGTACATCGGCAGGAAATGTGAAAATAAATTACAAATGGAGTTTATATTATTGCGGAACATCAAAGGAAGTTCTGTACACACAGGCTCAGTTTACTTAGCTCTCTTCACTTGAGGCCATGTGCCGCATGATTTGACTTGCCAGCTTTTCAATCTTCTTGATGTCGTTCGCCTGTTCCGTCTGGTAGAGAAGGCAGGCCTTGTTGTCGGTACACTTGACCACCAGTTTACCATCTTGATGGCGGTACTTCATCGTCAGTCGACATGCAAGTGGATTCTCCAGGTATAGGCCCTCCGCCGCTTGGGCGAACTCGTTCCAATTTTCAATCAGTGGCATACTGGTGAAAAGTGTAAAATGGTCTAAGATTGGTTGAAGGCAGGTGACGAGGGTAGTAAGCAATATAATGGCATATGAAAAGAATGATCAAAACACCCGAGATTGATTTGGAGTTGCTTGCTGACCGACACTGAGGCTCTGCGTGCGTGTGCAAAATCGGTGCCGTCAGTTGTCAATTTCCACAGTAAGCGCTTTGTTTTGGCTAATTCGCAGCTGTTGCGGCGCCGTTGAAACGTCGTTTTCAAAACAACGCGCCTTAAATTTCATCATTCGCTAGAATCTTCAGGCGTCATGGATGAAATGGATGAAATGGAAATGAATGAACCTTTTCTGGATCCGCCGAGCCAACTTCAGGCGCGACCAGCTTCAGCATCAACGGGTATTTCCTCGCCGGCAGACCTGCAGCCCGATACCATTTACTGTGATTCTCAAGATGTTCTCGAGTGCGTCAATCTCACTGACTCTCAATTTCCACTGAAAGACGCCGCCAAGGTAGTTGTTCCGCATACTCTTTCTCTTGAGCTTCTTCACTACTTTGGTCCTTTCTTCACTGGTACGAGGACAAATTATGTGTACGTCGCCAACTTTGAGAATGACAACTCCCACGTCGTGCTCATTTCACACTGGACAGATGCAAAAGAAACTGCTCAGATGGACTTTTATCTCAACCGAATCTTCAAGATACAAAACTTTTTGACTATAAGCTCAAAGGGTATTCATTTTGATTGCGGTAAGTTTAGCGTTTCTTCTATAAAATATGTTTAATCAGCTTAACTTTTTCAGGTAACATTGAATGTGTCATTGCCGAAAAGCCACTTCATGACATTGCCATTGTCGTAAATGAAACTTTAAATTCAACTTTGGAGTTTAATGAATCATTTAGAGAACTGACAAAGCTAAGTGAAGTAATCAACCCGTCGAATAAAGTTCAAGCTTTTAACTTTGTCAATGTAATTGGCTTTGTGGAAGCATTTTCACGAACAAATAAAGCTGATATTTTATTAATATCGGATGAAGAAACAAAGAATTTTCGCGTTTATCTCGGTTATTGCCAGTTGGATCAACTGAAGCAAAATCCGCTTCAGAGCGACGTTGAAAAAATGTTTTTTTCTTCAAGTGATCGAAGTGTAGTTTACCCGCCTTTGAAGAAAGGAGATTTAGTTTGCATTCGCGATCTATGCCTTGGTTCCGGTCCCATTAATATTGTCGTTCATCCAGACCAGCTTTATGTAAGTTTTTACTATTTTCTGTTTTAAAAAACTAAAGAGATACGTTGTTTTATTTAGGTAATTAAACCGTACAAAAGCAATGTGATTCTCCAAGACAATACGTTTTCAGACAATGAAATAGAGCGAATTCACAAACTACTTACTGAGTTTGCCAACATCAAAGTGCAGAATCCAGTGCCTTACAAGATTTCAAATCACGACATTCTCGACTTTTGCGGTCTAGTGTTAGCCAAATTAGAATACCCACCAGTAAATAACAAGTCAACACGGGTGGAATTGTTTCTTCTCTTGCCGTACAAAAGCTCATTGCCTACATACCTAACTGAAAAAACTGGATACATTGTTAATTACATCTCAAGCAAATGCTCCACTGAGTTGAACATTTATAATCAAGAGATAATTAATGAGCTTGTTGAACGCAACCGAATTGTGACGGTGACACTTTACGGCGTCAATGCCCAATCGGCTGAATCGGTCAACATCTACCATCAGGTGCTTTTGGTCAACGTTCACTTGAAAAAGGACCTATATTTTTCCGGATTCTATCAGTTAATAATGCACGATGGACAGGACAATGGAAAAGGCTGCTTTGTTATCGACAATGACTCTATCCTTGGTAAGCTAACTTGTTTTTTGTATGCTACTTTTATGTGCTAATACAATTTATTTAGGGGAAAAGGTTTCAAAAAGTATAAAAGAATTAAATCAAGAAGTTTTTCTTCAATCACCCTTGAATTATATGTCTGAAGAAGATTTAAACCAAAATTTTGACGAGGAAATCGTGAATCGATATAATGGTCCGGAAAATTTGAATGCCGTTGCCGAAAGTCAACAGAAACAGTCTAGCCTTTACAAAAATTCGTTTAGAGATATTGTTCAGGCAAGCATAAAGAAGACTAGCCTCAAAGGACAACAAGCTGTCATTCGGTGCTACATTAACGAGCAGATCTCAATGCGAGTTAATAGTTTTGCGGAAATGGTCGAGGAAATCCAAAAAGGCCTCGAAACGACCATAGTGGTTGGTCAGAATGCCGAACGCGATGGCACGCCTTTTCCCCCAAAAAGCTTCTTCCTCGTTTCGGCACGAATGGTCAACTACATCTTTGAGGACGATTTGGGCTTTCCGATCACTGACATGCACACTTTCCGAAGAAGCCTGATCAAGTTTTACTGCAAAATTCCGAAATGTGATAACAGGGCCTCCTACCTCTCAGTTGCCCCTCAGATTAGCCGTATTATTGCTTCGGGCGACGATCATCCCGATACTTCCATACGCTGCTCTAAGTGCGGAGAGAACAGCATGGGACTTTATTTAACGTTGAAGTTTACCATTGAAGACTCTTTCGGACAGAAGTTCACCTGTTTACTTACCTCTCCTGAGGCTGAGGAGTTTATCGGCGTCACTTCGCAGCAGCTGATGCTCACTAGTCCACGAAGTGGCGACATTTGTAACGCAGTTGAATCGTTGCTGCAAACCTTTTGCCCGTATCGTCGTCCGCTGAGCCGCACACCCGAAGGCAGCTTGAACAGCTCATCTGCATCCAACGACCCACCTCTAGTGCCACTGAATCCCAAGTTAGAGTGGATAATACAGTACGCTCGAAAGGAGGACGCTAACGAGTCCATCAGTGCCGATTTCCTCAACGGACACATGTTTGACTTGAACAGCACCGTCAACGGCACCCCGATTCGCCACTTTTTCTACATTCGCGGAATTTCCGAGCTATCTCCGCCTTGACCACCACCACCACCA